AGAATTCCTGAGTTAACATGACTGGAAGAGGAATTCTGGGAGTTGAAGTCCACAAGTCTTAAAGCTGTCTAGTTTGAAGAGCCCTGGTCTAGGGCTTTAGTATAATCAATTTCAGTAGGAATAAAGTTGCAGTTCTATAAAACTACTGAACCCAGCAAGTAATACAATCTAACATGCACTTACATACTGCAGAACTTTCTTGCCATTTTACTTTTTGCTTAATTGTCAACTGATATTATCCAATGTGTTATTTTGATATTTAAATAGCATTATGTACTAAACATTTTAGAACAGTAGTTGCTGGTGGTCTGTGAAAATTTTTTGGTGGTCCGCAGAGAAATGTCACCCCAAAAGCACCCCCCAAAGCAATTAATGCAGGCCCGCAGGAACACAAGGCTTGCATTGCGAACAATACGAGGTAGTGAGGGAAGTGGGTAAAGAGTGGAGGGAGGGAACTTGCCCCACTCACCCCATGCACCTCGCCTGGCCACCGGGCTGCTTCTTTCCTCTTCTTTCTTCTTCTGCCTTTGGCTGCATGCAAGGAAAGCAGAAAATGTCTTTCTTTCTCTCCCCCAAACTCTGCCAGAAATGAGTCTTTGGGACCCTGCAAGGCATTCTGCTCCAAGAGACTGCGCTGGCAAAGACTCATTTCTGGAAGAGTTTGGAGGAGAGAGAAAAAAAACTTCTGCTGCTTCTGCTGCTTTCCTTGCATGAAGCCAAAAGTCTCTCTCTCTCTCTCCCTCTCTCCCTGAGAACAGAGCTGGAGACGGTATCCTGCGATCCCAAATAAAGAATGGTGGATCGGTAGAAAAACGGGGTGGGGAATTTTCCTGCAGAGTTTTTGGGGGATTTTCCCAGGGTTTCTGGTCCGCAGGATTTAAAATTATGAGTTTGGTGGTCCCTGAGGTCCAAAAGGTTGATGACCCCTGTTTTAGATTGTATAAATTTATCATAACAAATTCATAAATTGTTTGTTACCAAAGGCAAAGTTACATGATATCGTTGTATGAAGATAGTCCCCTTCCTCCTAGATTACATCTCATTCTAACATTTTAATTGATGAATGTCCCTACTGATTTGCTTTTCTCTTTCTGGAACATTTGTAGAAAAGAAATTGGAAACACCAAGTTCTCTCAGGTATAACATGCTCAGACACTGGTTTATTAAATATGTTACATAAACATACCTCATTTTTATTTGCACTGATAAAAAAAAGTACTAAGGCAACTGTTGATCTGCAATTTCAAAATTACCATTAATTTTAGATTTGTGTGAGACAAAGCTTAGGGAATCTCCACACAGAAGCACTGCAGAGAAAAAAAAAAGCATTATTTCCACTAAATTTTCATTTATGATCTTTGTGAATTCCCTTTCACATATAGAAGTCACTTCTGTGCAGTAGCTGCAAAACGCCAACATTACAATTGTTTTCATAGCAGCTTTTCCAAGGCCAGCTTAATCTCATGTTAATGCAAAAAGGAAAACAGTCCTCTTCTCAGTGTATGAGGGGTGCCCTTTTTTCAATCCTAAATCTGCCTATCCTCAACAAAGCAGTTGAGCCCTCAATAAAAGCAACAGCCTTTGCTACAGATAGCACTGTTTCCAAGGCAACAAGCTGCAATTTCTTAGAGGCAGCAAAAAAGGAAATGACTTGGAAAAAAAATGAGGAAGAGTGGGGGAGTTGGGAAGTACCAGCATCAATATTAACTTGGGGCTTTTAGCTGGGGATATTGCTGTACAATTGATTCCTAAGATCTAAGCTGCAAGAGCGGGTTCCTAGCCCTCATCTTTAGACATTGAAACAGCAAGTCTTCATAGGATTGCAAAGCACTGATTTTTCTCAACTTTGAGACTGCAGCAAGAATATGGGGGCTGGGGGACAGCAAAGACATTACTTTTAACATTCCAGATAGAACAAATGGGATATATTTTCTCTCTCTCTCTCTCTCTCTCTCTCTCTCTCTCTCTCTCTCTCTCTCTCTCTCTCCGCATGTGTGTGTGCGTGTGTGCATGTGTGCTTGTGCATACTTGTGTACATACATGGATGTGCACACACTCTATATATTTACCAGCAGTTTTCCTAAAGTCCCATCCTTTTAAAGGATGTAAGACCTAACAACTCTTTATCCTCCTGGGATGAACTAATATCACATGCAAAATACTGTAGAGGTGTCATTAAAAGTATATTTCTTTCCAGGGGACATTCTTGCACCAACAGTGGAAAATTTGACCTTATTACTTCAAATGGTGGATCAGAATTCAGAATTGTATTAAATTAACCAAAATACTTTGTCCCTGTGCTTTCACTGCTATCCTGGCTCTGAGAAAAGGCAGTTTAGGGGATATTTCTAATACAGGTCTTTAATAACTCTCTTGGAAAATGACCTAGGCTGCCTATGCCTTTCCAGTTATTTGGACACCAGAAATGTGTGTGGGATTATGGCAAAGTGTGTTGTCCTGAGAGACTTGGGATGATGCAATGATGTCAAGGTTAGAGGTTTTTTTTTCCTGGGAGGGGGAGTCAAAAATCTGGCTTAGTATCACATAATTATAGAGAAACATATAAATATCTGCCTTGTAGCTGTAAACATATAAAAGGGAAGAAGCATTAAATAATGATGAAGGAGATTGTTGAATATTTCTAAAATTGTTTTAGTATGACATAGAGCAGTGGGAGAGCATGTATCAAGGAAGCGGAAACTGTAGCCGGAGCGCAAGCAGGACTCAAGACAGCAATCTGCTGAGCAAACTGACTGGTGGAAAGGACTGCAGTTTTTGGAGAACAGATCATAGGTCAGCAAGGGCAACTTGACAAAGGTGCTGGGATCCAAGAAATCCAGAAAATACTTATTTTCCCCTCTTCCGTTCTCTTCCCTAGAATAGAAGTAAGTCCAAGAGTGAAAGCACAGAAAGAAGCTGTACATGTGAGAGAGGAGTGAAACACTGTAAAAATCCCCACAAGAAATTCTTTGTATAGAATCGTATATATATAATTTGTTAAGCTAAGGCCAAGGTATATATTAAATACCACTATAAATAAAGAAGTGTGTATACAGTTTCTGTCCCTTCCCACCCCTACAAACAGGGGTTTCTCTATCGTTTTAATGTATTGTTCTATATGTATTTATGAGTTTATTGTATTTTTATGTTTGGCAAGTAAACATAAAATAAGGGTAAAAGGTACCTAAAATATTACATGTTAAATAAACAACCTTAAACAAACTTATAACTGTGACCTTTCTAAATATTCAAGTTCCTTGGGAGAATATCAGTCTGTGCTGAACTGGTATGCAAGAACAACCTAAAACAGAAGAGATTTGTAAGCTTGGTTACATTTATTAAAATAAAATGTGGACCAATATTGTACTGCAAAATACCCTATATGCAAATCACTTACTTTTAATCTGAAAGTTATGTTCAAATGTACATTAAATGTTTCTTACATTTGTGTTCAATTTTTCTGATCCAAAGAGATTAAACTTATTTCTTTCTTTGAAGAACATATACTTCATCAATTGTCTGTACTTTCCCACATTATTTTGTGTGTATCTCTATTACATTCTTATGGTTTTCTCTAATTTGTGAATGAACACAGATGGAAAGTCTCATTCTTGGGCCATATTATAAACTGATTTATTTTGGCAATTGGTAGAGAAGAATTTCTTATTACCTTGCTAATCATTGAAACACTTCTTCAGAAACCCCAAGAAACATGAACTATTTAAACTTGAGTTATAAGTAACAGAGTAAATATGTATTTGAACTAGTAGAAATAGATTTGATGTATTGCCGGAAAACACATACAATTTCAATGACAATCTTGTTCCTACTTTCGTGTGGGAAGGGTCAAAACAGTTGAAATGGATATAACTCTGTCCAAATAATATTGTGAAGTTGCAGCTTAATTTTTCCTTATAATTTTAAAAGAAAAATTAAGCTGCAACTTCACAATATGATATAGCTTCTGTACTCTCATGAGCTGCTGGCAAAAATTATCATCATAGCTGCTAGCAAAAAAAAAAAACATTTTTCCTCAACATAGCACCATGTAATATCCACAACACATAGAAGACAGAGCAGTTTGTTCATTTTTCAGGATGAGGTCAGTTAGACAAACATGAACTCTCCAATTACTGTTGTGCATTTATTTCAGTTGACAGAAGCTTCTTGTTTCTTTATAATTGCTGTCAAAGATCAAAGCAATATAAACACAACATTGCAAAAATGAGACACAATAAAAATATTAACAGTAAACAGTACTGTTAGTACAGATTCTATAGGCAATATATTAAAAGACAGGAGATTTCATCACGTGTAGTGTTGATAGGAAATAATACTTTGTGGAGTGCTTGTAGCTACAACTAAACAAAGATGAAATGAGGGAGGGATATAAGGGATGTTAAGACAATTACACTGAATGGAAGGTTATGACTTTGGAGAGAGAAATAAAATGCCCGAAGAAGAGTGGTCTGTGTGGCACTTGAGTTTACTTGGGCTTACCCTTTTTCTGGGGACTCATAGATTCCTTCCCAACTGAATCAATTTCATTCAAAGGTCTTGTTAGTTTTTTAAAGAACAGCTTGCCTTATTTTACAAAAATGCCTAAGCTCATATAGACTCCATAGACCTTCCTTGAAAAATAAATGATTATGACTGCTTAAAGAGAAAACAAAAATAAACTCACTTTGTAAAGGAAGAGAAGTTGGAGGAAGAGAAGTTGATGCAGAATAATCTTTTAACTTTCCTTTCCAATCCAAAACAATTGGATATTTGATTACTGTCCATGTGAAACATGGCAGCCCATTTATAAAAGCATTTTTATGCTCTCAAAATTTCAAATATGCCCCCCAGCCACATACATGTTTGTTTAACCCCAAGCTATTAAATTGTTGAGGAACAGAGGGAAGGAGACAATAATATTCCTGCTGTATGGCTTTGGCCTATAAAGGAAAAGCCCAGTGACAGATGGAAATCAAATAATGAAATATATCCATACTCACTCCCACTCCTTCCGCTTTGCCTGTGGCGTGTTGTGGATTTTGTGGGCCTGATGGGCCATGATGACATCACGTTGATCAACAATGCCTCCACGTCGCTTGTATGAAAGAGGTTCCTGACCCATATAGTGGTACCAGCCACTAAAGAAAGGATATTCAGGACTTGTAGGTCCACGTCCATAGTGTACCACTTCATAGTAACTGGGAGGGGACAGCAGAGATGAACGGATCACAGCACGCCCCGCCATCCATGGAACTTGAGCAGAAACCACAAAATCCTACCTGGCTGTCTGCCTTTATCTGTAAAGATAAAACACAATGGGAACTGATAGAATAAATTACACAGATCTATCTGAACACAGTGGCACAAATTTATGCGGCCTGTTTAGAATACTTCACCCAGAAAAACCACTTCAAGACTTCAGCTGTTTTAAAACTAAGGTAAAATACTACTCCGGCTCCACTTTTAGTGACAATCTGAGTACTTCCAAAAAGTTGTATTAGCAAAACGTGGAAATGGGTGGCTATTATCTTTTTGCAGGATGCTTTTTCAATTTCCCCATTCTTTCTTCCCAGTATACACCATTCTGAACCCATCTTAGCTTCCAAAATTGCTTTAAAATATCCATAATTTTTTAAGAACCAAAATGACCTGTTTCTACATTTCAGTAAATAATATAAAGACAGTTTTTTATGTCAGGGTAAATAATAATATTGTTTTTACTAAGCAAAACATTGCTTGCATCTCGAAATAGCTTGGCTTTTAGTATGTTAATTTTTGGATAGAAGATCAAATAAATCTTTAGGTGCTGGACACATCATATAGATGGGAAAGAAGGGAGAAATGAGGACAGAAGAAAAGGACTAAGGATAATCTGACTTTTGTCATCGGAGCTGATGATGAGGTGTTTTCATTCTTCTGCTTTATTCAAACCCCTGGAAATGTTTTGTACAATAATTAAAATTAAATACAATCTAGCAATAGTACTTGGACACATGTGCTTCATAGTGCTTGAATTCTTTAAGGTTTCCTGTATAGTAACTGCATAAACCCAACAATGGATCCTAAACTTAAAGTTTAAGTGCATTTGCACACCTTTATTGGGTACAATGCCTGCAACACAACTCTCCAAATAGATATTGCCACCAGAGGATACTATCTTTATCAATAAGTAATAAAATACCCAGTAGTAGAAAGAAAGAGAAGAAAATCAACTTTTTAGAAGAAAAATCAACTTAGTTTAGGATTATGGGTCTTCCCTAGTTAGTTCTAAATCACATATATTTTTCATTATTCATACAGGGTTTTTTTGAGGAAATCTCTACACTTATAAACTACAAATTGATTAAAATTCTGGCTTTGAAAGTTGGGAGCTGTCCATTTCACTATTATACTTTATTCAGTTGAGAAAAATAATGTTACTAGAAACTAGTAGGACATAGTATCAGAACATTCTATTTATAAAACTCATGACTTTCACTTTCCTAATTCTTTCCTTAGTTTATTCTCTCATTCTGCCTGAATCCCATTATTTAAAGAGAAGTGAAACCTCTAAGTCAGCAAGTAAACACCTCATCTAAATGGCAGCACCTAGCTGACTCATTAAACATTAGCCACAACTAGATCTGGTTTGTATTTCTATAGACGATCCCATGAAACCAAGATTGGAAAGCACAATGGCAAATAATGTTTGTTACTAAAAAAACAACAACTCTCTACATGGATGTGCCTATGAAATTACCAGGGAGCCCCACCTGAATTCACTAATCTGAATATCTTCTTCATAGCCAAGTTAAAGTAGCATTCGCCAGTTCTTGAACCAAGAGAAAACTATACCTGTATAACATTTGCTATTCCTACAGCAAATCTTTAACCATGCATGATCTCAACAAATGGTGTGATCTCTATTTACAGTGTGCAGGGCGTGTTAAGGATCGGATTGATGGGTTCTTCTAGCTTTATTTCCCTCCTATCACACACATATCATTAGCTGGAGAAAAACATCCTCTTCATTTTCTTTAGCATGGGTTGTTCCTGAGCAGCAGGTGAGTTCTGACAGATGGCAAGATCAGAGGATTTAGCCATCTGTCAAAATTTGTTCTAGTGTTTCAAGTGAATATTCTGAGAGGGAGCTTGGCTATCATTTAATATCATCTGACAGGTAGACTGTATTTGGACAGGAATTTAGCACTATTCCAAAATAACACTATTCTGGAGTAATGTGAAACATGCATTCAAAAGTAGCTAATAGATATGGGTCTCAATCTCGCTATGTTTGCCATTGCTACCATCAGTTAGTTGCCATTCAGATGGATTATGTTATCCAAGCATGGATGAGGAGAAATTTTAATTTAAAGATCTTGACTCCCCCACTGTCTTAAGCAGAATGTCCTTAGAAGACTGAACTGGAGGAGAGGGGATACACCTATTTCTGGCTTTAAGTAGCCAATAAGTGATTACAAACGCACACCTAGAGGTTATATATCTGTAATAGCAACTGAATGGTTGATGATGTACATCAGACTTTTCACGTGGTAAAATTGCCATGGCTGCTTTATGATGAAACTATGGGAGGTTGAAGCATTCTGTTTGTGCATGTAAGTGTTCTTGACAGTAAGGATCTGACCAGGGCAGAATTGTGAAGTTTTATAACAAAAAGAAAATACAAGCATATAAATACATTGTAGGACTAGGCAAAGTCTAGCAATTAGCTAACAACGTATCAGGATGAGTGTCAAAGAGCATATGCTCTGCATGTGCCTTGAAAAGAAACCAGAAGAAAGTAACCCCAGAATAGAAATCTTTGAGACCATGTTTTTCAACTTTGGCAATTTTAAGATATATGGATTTCAACTGCCAGAATTCCATATCTTCTGCATCTTATTGTGATATGTAGTCAGTGGACCTTGAGATACTAAAGCATCATAACGACGGGATCCCCAATTATAACTTCAAAAAAGGCAACCACGATCTTATAGACAACGATCTCTCATCTCTAGATTGGCAACTTCTATTCACTGGATGCAATACTGTTGAAGACCATTACAACATATTTTTACTTGAAGTCAAAAGAGTCATCAAACTATATGGACCAATAACAACTCCCAAAACCAGAAAAAAACAAATTACCCATAACAATAAGGAAGCTTCAATCCAAAAAGAAATCACTTTGGTGGAAAAACAAATCTGGTCACGTTGCCAACTTCAAAAGCCGATACAAAAATTTAAGCCACCAGATAAAGACTGAATGCACCAATTATCACATTAAACAAGAGGAAAACCTTCTACACACCAATTCCATCCGCTCTTTCTACAATTTTGTAAACAACAAACTAAAAGACTCAAGGTCTATCCCACCCTTGAAAGGACCTAACGGTAAAGACTGCAACAATGACACCATTAAAGCTTTAACACATTCTTTGGCTCAGTATTTGTAAACAGCAATGAGTCATGCCCAGTATTTCCTAGTCGAACCATAGACAACTACAATGATCTAATACATATCAATTTTTTGATGATCTAATACATATGGATTTTATAGAAGACAATGTTGAAAAAGCACTACACAATCTAAAACCATCTCTATCTATTGGACCGGATATGTGCCCACTTCTTTAAAAAGCTATCTACTGCCCTAGCCAAACCTCTAAGCATAATCTTTGAAAAATCTTTCAGGACCAGCTCCTTGCCAAACCTATGGTCACAAGCCATGGTCATCTCTATCTTCAAAAAGGAAGACCCCAGCCTAGTTGAAAATTACAGACCAATCTCCTTATTCTGTGTCACCTGTAAAGTCATGGAATCAATTATTAACCAATCCATTATCCTCCACTTAGAGACAAACAACCTATTCTTTAATAAACAACTTGGTTTCAGAAAAAAACTATCCTGTAATCTGCAACTCTTACACTGCAAAAACATATGGACTACACAACTCAGGGCAAAGCAATAGACACAATCTACATAGACTTCTGTAAAGCCTTTGATTCAGTGATACATGACAAATTACTATTAAAACTAAAATATTATGGTATCTCTGGACACCTACATAAGTGGATAGAAGCATTCCTGTCAAACAAATGGTCAAAATTGGGAGCATCCTATCAAATTCTGTACCTATCAACAGTGGTGTCCCCCAAGGCAATGTTCTAGGGCCGACTCTCTTCATACTCTACAAAAATGATTCCACATAAATGTGATCATATTAAGAGGAACTGCATTCTCTTCGCTGATGATGTAAGGCTATTCAACACCACAGACACCCTGCTACCCTTCAAAAAGACCTTGACTATGTGTCAGAATGGTCAAACAAATGGTAACTTCAAATCTCAACAAATAAACAGAGTCCTACATATTGACAAAAAAGAATCAGAAAATAAAATACAAGCTGAATAGTCAAGACCTTGTTGATGACCCTAACTTTGTCAAGGACCTTGGAGTACTCATCTCTAATGATCTAAATATTAGAGCCCACTGTAACTACATAGCCAAAAAGGCATTGAGAGTTGTTAACCTAATCCTATGTAGCTTTTTCTCTGGTAATATCACACTACTAACTAGAGAATACAAAACATTTGCTAGACCTATACTTGAATACAGCTCATCAGTCTGGAACCCGCATTATGTATCTGATATTAATACAGTTGAGAAAGTCCAGAAATATTTCACAAGAAGAGTTCCCCATTCCTCTACTCATTGCAGAATACCTTATGCCACCAGACTTGAAATTCTAGACCTAGTTAACCTAGAACTACGCCGCCTTTGGTCTGATCTAAGTATAGTATATAAAATCATACATTGCAATGTCCTACCTGTCAATGAATACTTTAGCTTAAACCATAACAATACAAGAGCACACAATAGATACAAACTCAAGGTAAACCACACCAAACTTGATTGCAGGAAATACGACTTCAGCAACAGAGTGGTCAATGTTTGGAATACTCTACCTCAGGGGTCCCCAACCACCGGGCCGCGGACCGGTACCGGGCCGTGGAGCACTCTCTACCGGGCCGCAAATAATTTTTTTTTTAAAAAATGGCGGCTTTCTTCACCTTCGGTGAATGCTGCTGGGATCGGGGATCAAGGACACAAATGAAAGAAGGGGAGGGAGGAAGCAACCGAAGCCTGTCCTTCTCTCTGGGTCAGCTCTCTCAGTCGCTCTCT